ACTTCTGGAAAGAAACTTTGAAAGATATTTCCTAACTTCACCTTTCTGTTTTTCCTTGACTGCAAGCCAGCAGTTTCCCACTGGGAAGAGTATTCAGATCCAAGCAAAGCCAAGTGATCATACAATGTGAATTTAAACAACATTTATTGTTGAAAGCCATCAGTATTTTAGGATTGCTTTTTATTTTTATTTTTTTTTTCAACCTTTTTTAAATTTTATTTTTGGGACAGAGAGAGACAGAGCATGAACGGGGGAGGGGCAGAGAGAGAGGGAGACACAGAATCGGAAACAGGCTCCAGGCTCCGAGCCATCAGCCCAGAGCCTGACGCGGAGCTAGAACTCACGGACTGCGAGATCCTGACCTGGCTGAAGTCTGACGCTTAACCGACTGCGCCACCCAGGCGCCCCTAGGATTGCTTTTTAATGTCGCATAATCTAGTCTGAACAGCTATAAACTCTATGAAATATGATGTAGCAGTCATAAGAAATGCAGGCTAAGGTTGAGATGCAAGAGTAAGATAAAGAGATCTCAAAATTAGGTTACAATAGGGGTGTTTGTGATAAGGAGAAATGATAAGGGAATTAAAATTCAATAGATGAACTTAAGTTATCATTGAAGGCAATAAAGGACAGAATTTACTCTGCAGAAAAGGAAGCAGTTAGAAAATGAAATGAATAATTATAGTTTACTTTTATGAACTGCTTACTAAATACCAAGTCTGTGATAACTCTTACCAGAGATTGTTATAAAATCCTCAAATGATTTTAGGCTAGTGATACTGTTTTTATCATCATTCAACTCATGAGAAAAGAAGGCTTATCGAGATTAAAATATTTCTTAGTTTGGAGCACATTTAACTCTAGACAATCTGATTTAGATCGAGGGCCTTATCTCTTACTCTGCTCCTTAAATGGGGCATTTGGATTTTTTTTTTTTTTTTTTTTGCCATCACTCAACATCAATTTTCCTTGTATAGGAATTCCAGAAATTTCCTTTGGCATATCTCTCTCTCTCAATTTTAATCATTTGTTTGGTATTGAATTAATCAGCTCCACAATTGTTTACTCCAATATGGGCATATTTCAATTTGGGCAACTGAGAGTCAGTCCATGGGTACTTGTTTTGCAGTAAGGGGCAGAAACTCTTCTACTCACTGGCATTTATTGACAACTATCTTATACTGAGGGATGAGATCAGAACCAGTATCCAAAAAGCCAGAAACAGAAAGAAACAGAGTGAGAAAACCCAAGTCCAGGTCCCATCGCTTAAGCCTTGAACCAAATCATACCTGAAGTCCAATGGCCCTGGTTGCTTTGAATGTGTGAAACTCTTAATTTTTTTTCTTGTGTGTGCTTACCTTTAATTAGGTTCAGGTTTTCTTTCACTTCCATCTTAACTACTACTTTACTAAGTACTTTTTTGTTATGAATGCATGTGTGTTATTAATACATGTTATGTAATGCATGAGTAGGGTACTCTCTGCTAGTAGGGGCCATCTCTCCTTCAGTCTTCTTCCCCACAGGCATACAACAGACTATCGACTGCAGTAAATTCTCAATAAATGACTAAAGAATCCAGAAACAAAACTATTATGTCTTGCTTGATGTAATAATAATGAACACATGTCTTTAATTCCATTCTTTGGTCGTTTACAAGAGTGACATTTATCTAATTTCTGATGATGATAATGGAATGATTCTTAATGTTCAGCTGAAATGGCCCAAAATATTTCAGAAGAATCTGAATCAGGGAAAGCAAAGTTGCGTGTGTGTGTGTGTGTGTGTGTGTGTGTGTGTGTGTGTGTGTGTTGTGGGAGAGAAAGTTTCAGTTTCTGTTCCGTTGAAATATTAAATGGGAGCATGCCTACTGCAAAGGGGAAGACTCAACGCACACGCAGTGTTCCGAGCTGTTCTGTGCAGGATTGGGCTACAGGGCCTGTGCCATTCTCGTCACCAACTGCTCTCTGCACAGCCAGAACTGAACTGTCTGTACTGTACATCTGGATGAAACTGTACATCTGGACAAAATTTCAGTAAATGAGATGGGGAAATTATTTGGCACTTTGTTACCCATGTTTGTCTGAGAGGATTAAATTAAATGTTGCTGATTCACCATTAACCCACACCCTCTGCCATAAGCAAACTACAGAAGTCATAGAAATCTTCTTTAGTAAAATCATTATCTTATATATTTGCTTTCACTGTTAAATCATTAGGCTGAATTTTTATTTTTTTTTTTTCCAGACTTTTGGAAGTCCTAGAGTCATAGATGTTTAATGTTGGGAGCAACTTTGATGATGATCTAACTAAACACTTTTGTTTTGCTGAGCATGGCACAGAAAGGTTAAGTTGTTTACTCAGGGCTACTCAGTGACTAAATCAGAACTTGAACTCAGCTTCCAAAGTCTCAATCCAAAAACTTTACATTTGACTTTTTACTTACTTAGAGTTAAAGTTAGAATAGAAACAATATATTTTCCTATATAATCTCTTTCACTTGGAATCAGGTTCTTTTACAAAAGAATTATATATATATATTTTATATATATGTAGGTATATATATTCCTGACATTGGAAAATAATCTTTGTGAACTACAAGTTACTTTTCTAACATAGCTAGTAGGTTTTTTTTTTCTAATATTATCTTGTTTCTTCTAGTTATTTTACTAAACATGCATTCTTCTAAAAACTAATAATTTTCATAATATATTTCAATTTTTTTCAGGTGATTTAACTTCCAAAAACCCTAACTTTGAAAAATCTCAACACCGTCTTCTATTAACTATTTATAAGACAGTTTTTACATACTCTATAATAATTCGGTTTGTACCTTACCTTTTGAATATGAAAGATATCAATAACAGTAGCTTAATACATGCACTGAATATAATAAAAACTAATAGAAAGCTATAGGAGACACTCTTAACCAAAATGATTAACTTTTCCTGGAAAAACATTGACCTTTGACCATTTCACTCTGAATGCTTTGTAGCCAGTTTAAAATTTGCCTGAGTACTTCTACTTCCATAAATTTAGTTAAAGGCTTAACAAGTAAGTTGTGTTTGTTCCTAAACCTATGTATGCCAGCTATAGTTGCAATTATGATCATAATAAAACACTTTTACTGGTTGATTACTATTTTGAAAGTATGTGTGTGCATGTGCAATAGATAACTTTGGGATGGCCACTTAAGGAAACCTTTTACTGATAGGATAGGATTCAGTGAATGAAGAGTATATCAAAAGCTGTTTTGTGAGGTCTTAAATATTCTCTTTTTTTAAAGTTCATTTATTTATTTTGAGGGAAAGAGGGGGTGCAGGGGAGGAACAGAGAGGCCCTGAGACAGAAAGAATCCTAAGTAGACTCCATGCTGTCAGCACAGAACCTGATGGGAGATGATGACCTGAGCTGAAATCAAAAGTTGGATGTGGGAGCCTGGGTGGTTCAGTTGGTTAAGCTTTCAGCTCGGGTCATGATCTCACAGCTCATCAGGCTCTGTATTGAAAGTGTGGAGCCTGCTTGGGATTCTCTCTATTCCTCCTCGTCTGCCTCTTCCTTCCTCTCTTTCTCTCATAAAAAAATAAACATTAAATTAAGAGAGTCATACACTTAACCGACTGAGGCACCAGTCTTAAATATTTGATTAAGATTGATAAAAGTCAATAGGAATTATTTTCATTTTCATCATGCAGCTTAAATTTATGCTATTGCAAGTTTGGTGTGCTTATTGTATTATTTCCCTAATACTGCAGGGAACTGAAGTTCTCCCAAATAAATTTAGTTCATCTCTCTAACCTCCAATATAGTTATCTTATAACTTTGGGGAGAGATAAATGTGTTTTTTGTTTTCACATAATTTTATGAAAGTTAGTTTTATAGTCGTTTAGGTTTAAAATAATTACAACTCACATTTCCTAACAAATTACAATCTCAACTTCTCATGCCTGTACGCATCTACTTATTTGAATCCCATAATAGGCAGAGATACTTCATTCCAATTGTGTACTTTTTTATAGAAGAAGATTCTATAAATAACTAAATCCTACACCTTGAATTATATATTCAGTTATTTTTTATTTTCTTTTATTTTTTATTTCATATTTGATAGAGAGAAAGGGAGACACAGAACGTGAACAGGGGAGGGGCAGAGAGATGGAGACAGAATCTGAAGCAGGCTCCAGGCTCCCAGCTGTCAGCACAGAGCCAGACGCGGGGCTTGAACCCACCAGCAGTGAGATCATGACCTGAGCTGAAGTTGGACACTTAACCGACTGAGCCACCCAGGCGCCCCTATATATACAGTTATTTAAATAACTATATAATATAGCAACTAAAATATGAATATAAATAAAGTGTTTGACACCACATAATCCCTTAGCAGACTAGTTTATAAAGAAGAATATCGAGGTCAATGTTTTGAAGCTTGAGACCAAGTATGTCACTTAATCTCTTTTAGCCTCAGTTGTAAAACTGAGTAAAGGTAACCGGGTAAAGAAAAAAAAAATGTATGTATGTAAAAACAGGATTTAGTTTGGCCAAAAAACTTGATAATTGTTACTCTCTAGTTCTCCTTTCTGGTTCCTCTAGAGTATTTTTAATCTTTAACCTCTGCAATATCAATACCTTTTTATGCTCATTTGATATTTGTGTCCCAGATGCCACTGTTGCTCACATTATAATCAGAAGAGGAAAAAAAAAAGTAGTTTCTTTGTTTTATTTGGTCTATAATTGCTCTGACTTCTTTTATGATTACTTGAAAATAAAAAGCTACATTTAGTCCAATTTGCTTTAAAACTTAATCCAATCCAATAATTTTAACAGTCCTCTAAGAAAGTAGTCCTTGGAAAATGAGATATTGACTGTTATTTCCACTTTCCCCATGCACTCGATATTCTTAAGGATGGCATTAAATTGAGTTCAGGGACAGAGCCAGTTGGGGACCTTTGTAAACACACAGAAGAAAAAGGGAGAGTCTTTGGATCCATCCATCAGTTACTTACTGGTTTTCAGTCTGCTGCAGAGTGGGTGTTCTGCGTCTGCTGCAGTATTTGTTTGGCTTGGTCTTTTTCAGGATCTTCAGCTGGTATTTGCTGCTGACATCTGGGGCTGATGAACAGAAATTGAAAATTTTCTCTGCTTGATGAATGGCTCCCTACTTACTCAGCTTTTATTGTGGTGCAGACTCTGGCAGTGTTTCTATCTGGATCCTTGGTCCAGTCACTCCGTTCCACCACAGAAGGGTCTTGCTATGTGGAGACCAACATAAGCATACGAGTTAAGAGTTAATTCCAGACTCTTTTTCCCTATGGCTTTTTTTTCCCTCCATGTTCGTAACCAAAATGCTGCACCTCAAGCTGACATGGCAGTATTTTCCAAGTGTCCCAAATGGAGAACTGGACAAGAGGTCCTTGTCCTCACCTGATCAAACTAATTGATACATTCACTCCTGAAGACCAAACCCAGAGAGAAGAAATGAAGACATCTACCTGACAGCTTCTTTGCCTAGTACTTTCCCTGCAATAATCCAGATTCAGAGTGTCTGCTAATTTACTCCTGCCAGCCTAAGACTTCCTTCTGCTGTCTGGCTCACAGAACTTGAATCTTGGTTGGTTAAAATGGGAGGTAAAAAAAGTTAAAAACTAATTTCTTCCTCCTCAATGCTTGACTGGCAAACCTAATATCTTCGTGAAAATTCTTATTTGTAATATAACCTGAATATCGGTGTTTTATTTTCCTTTTATACTCCTATTCTAATGTTTTAATCACTTTGAAGCAGATGTGTCTGGGCTGACTAGGGAGAAGGTCATGTCATGAAAATGCACAGGATAACAATCTTTTAATATTTTATTTTTTCAAATATGACTTCTACTGTATGCATTAAACTATTGATATCTTTTCTATTTAAATTTATACTCAGGATATTGGGGTGCCTGGGTGGCTGAGTCCGTTAAGCGTTGGGCTGTTAGTTTTGGCTCAGGTCATGTTGTGGGTCTGAGCCCCTCAGTGTGGAGCCTGCTTGGGATCCTTTCTCTCCTCCTCTCTCTTGGCCCCCAGCCCTCTCTCTCTTTTTCTCTCTCTCTCAAAATCACTAAATAAATAAATAAATAAATAAATAAATAAATAAAAAAAACTTAAAAAATAAATTTATACTTAGGATATCAAATTAAAATGTCTAAGAAGTCAATGCTCAAACTAGGTTACATGATCTTGTTCACAATATTTTGTTTCTATTTATTTTTATCAATAAATACATATTCAGACACTCTATGAAAATAATCTTTCCTTATAGATTTGTAACAGTGAAGAGCAAAATGATGATTTTTATATTGTTTGTGAAAATGAATGGAATTTAAATAAGATTTTATAGTATTTATGTTAAATTATTGAAATAATGTAATATATTTAAATGGTAATCTCATCAGTGACCAACCTTTATTTATTAATACAAACAATGTGTGAGTTCTTTCTTTCTTTCTTTCTTTCTTTCTTTCTTTCTTTCTTTCCTTTTTTCCTCTCTTAATCCATTTTAGGCTGTCTCTAAGGATTCTAGCATTTGTCCCAATATGATCTTATGCAGAAAGAAGTGATCAAAAAAAGCATTCAGGATATGGTAAGCAGAATGCAGAATGAGGCAGAGAGTCTTGCTGAGAGAATTTTACAATCTGTTATGCATGATTGAGTATCACATTTATTCCTAACTACTTTCTGCCATTATTACTTGCTATAAACTTTTTCCCAGAGTGCATATATATAAAATTTATTTACATGTGTTTTCCTTAAACACTTAAGCCCTCTTACATTTATGTTCCTGAAGTAATGCACTGACTTAATAGAAATACTCATTTATTACAAAGAAACATGTTTAAGATCCTAAAAAATTTCATGGAATTTCTGGTGCCATTTGAATCAAGGAGGTAAGATTCCAAAATAGGGAATCTTTTATGCAGAGGACTTTGGAGAGGCCCTAACTCTTTTCTATTTTCTTATGCACATGATATACTTCTTTGAAAATGCTCTCATATTAATCTTTGTAGGTCTTGTGCTTCTAAGTTGAATTATCTTTCTTTCCACTGTTATGAACGAAATTTGATGAAGTGAGATTAGACTAAAAATGATGACACTATTGGGGCACCTGGGTGGCTCAATCAGTTAAGCTCAGTCTTTGGCTCAGGTTATGATCTCCTGGTTCCTGAGTCTGAGCCCTCTGCCCCCTGCACTGTCAGCACAGAGCCTGCTTCAGATCCCTTGTCCCACTCTCTCTCTCAGGTCCTCCCCACTCATGCGCAATTTCTCTCTCTCTCTTTCTCTCTCTCTCCCTTCCTCCCTCAAAAATAAATATTAAATGTGTTGATGCTATTCAATAAGGTCCCCAGTTCTTCACATCTGGAGATAAATAAAATGTCATGTTTAAAAATGAAAAGATGAACAAAAAAAATGGCAAAAACTGTAGAAAACCTTGTAATTCTAATTTGTATTTTATTAAAGTTTAACTTTGATAACTTGAAATATTTGGTTTTATATATACACTATCTGCAACCTAGATATTTATTTTTTTTTAAATTTTTTTTTTCAACGTTTTTTATTTTTGGGACAGAGAGAGACAGAACATGAACGGGGGAGGGGCAGAGAGAGAGGGAGACACAGAATCAGAAACAGGCTCCAGGCTCCGAGCCGTCAGCCCATGCAACCTAGATATTTATAATGAGTGAATGCATTTTATATATTTAATAACTTAAGTATTAAAAAGTAGTGGTTATGTCTTAGCTTATCATGGCAACTAAAAACAATATTATAATTACTTTTTTTGAATGAAGAAATGAGGTAAGAACATCAAAACAACTAAGAAAATTAATGAATCAAAATGGTAAAACAAAAATTCCAAAATTAAATGTAATATGGAGTTCACAACTGCTGGGTAAAATCTAAGAAAATAAAACTGCTTGTATTTTGTTTTCTTTTTTGTGTCAGAGCACATGGAAATACACGATTGATCAATGCCTTTTATTGTTATTATGTTCAAATTTCTAAAAACATATATTAAATATTTTCCACAGAAAAAGACCATATGTGCTCTTTAAATATTGGCTAAGAAAACTCCCTTGGATAAAATAAATATTAACACTTGGCAAAAAATGTAAGTTGTGACCATATTTTGCTCAAAATACCTCAGTATTTCAAAGGAGGAAAATTATAACTTCTAAATTTAATTTTTGTTAAAGTTAAGAGCAAGTCAATAAATGAATAGCAAATGATCACTTGTTCTCATGCCCCATGAACTTAGTTTCTTTTTGATATCATATGCTTTGAAGGAGTTCTCCTTGATTGAATTTGGGGCAATTAGGACCTTACAGGAGTAAATGAAGACTACCTCGGTATTGTTTTCCACTAGAGGAATATTATGCCTCACCTCTACTCCAGAGGTCAGTATACTTCCAGCCTAAGTAGGAATTCATTGGCTTCTAGAATGTTTCTGCCTTATAAGATTATATAGATAAATAGGTTAAAATTGTGTACCAATGGAAATATTCCATTACGTAGGAGTGTCATACACTTCTTACGTACATCCCTTTCATACACACACATAGAAACACTGAATTAAGGAGTAAATGGATAAATACTCGGCATGCGTGGCATTCCTTTTCTGGATATTTTCTAGCAATCTACTGAATTCCTACCTTGCTTTACAAAATTTGAAAGAACTAAATGCTGCTCTGATTGTTAACCTCAAAAATATATATAACTGAACTATAGGCATTACAAAATCAGTTCAAAGGATAAAGTGAAAGAGAGTAGGTGAAGATTCATTTTAACAGTTCATTTTGAAAAGCAATTCTGAAAAGACATGACAAATTGTTTTGTGAAAATATAAATGATATGGGTAGCAGAAAATAGCTGGGTAAAATCTCTCAACTAGGTGGATTGTACTAACTTCAAATTGTGGTCACAAAGCTCAAACCCAAAATAAGGCTCCTCAGTCTCACTTTTAGCTGATGACATTGATGAATATTTTAGTGAGAGCATAAAAAACAACCAGAAATCAACTTCCAAAAGCTCCCAACAACACATCCACCTTCATGTTGGCTATTCTCTGCCTTTTTGCCCATTAACATCGGTGAATTCTCCATGCTCCTGCTTAGCAGGTTCCTCCTACTCTAACCTGCTCCACTGTATCCTTCTATCACTGTACCACTTTCTCTCCTAACTCATCAACTTTCCCTCTAATCAATCATTCTCGTCTGCATGGCAGCATACTATTGTTTTCACAATCTTAAGAGAAACAAACTGAAAATGACTCTGCAAAAATAGGCCCATAAACTTTTGCATCATTTCTGTTCCCCTTCAGTAATATCCCTGCAAAGAGTTGTCTATGTGCGTCTTCCCTTGTCTCTTGTAAGATGTTAAGCCAGTTGCTTTTGGTGGCAGGGCCACCCAAAGATGTATTTCCCGCCCCCTCCCCCGAGGTCTTCTTGAAATTTTTCTAATGTATTCAGCTAGTCTTTCTCAAGCATGTATTAACTTTATAATGGAAAAATGACAAATTTTAAATGTCTCCCAGGTTGCTGGATTCAACAGTTGGTTCTGAGCTTTTATGTTACTTTGACTCATCGCTGGTATTTGACCAAACTGATTACTCTATTTTAATTTTTAGTATACATTTGGCTGGTGGGGCCTTATACTCTCGGATTTTCTCCACTCACTGAGGCCTCTATCTGGTCTTCTTGTCCTGCCCAGCTGCGTGAGGCTGGAGGTCCCAAGCGTGGTCTTTAGAACTCTTTCTTGTCTGTTCTTTCTTCTTGGATGATCTCATAATTTTAAAAGCCATTTATATTCTATTTATATTAATTTTTTAATTTATTTTTGAGAAAGAGAGAGAGCATGAGCAGGGGAGAAGAAGAAGAGAGAAAGAGAGACAAAATCCAAAGCAGACTCCAGGCTCTGAGCTGTCAGCACAGAGCCTGATGCGAGGCTCGAACTCATGAACAGTGAGATCATGACCTGAGCCAAAGTCGGACGCTCAACTGACTGAGCCACCCAGATGCCCCGTAACAGGTTCCATTCTTACTCTTTCTCCCAAAATAGCATTTAGAATGATCCTCAATATGTAAGTTAGAACATATTTGATTGTATCAATCTATTTTAAGCAGATCATTCATAACTTCTGTAGCTAACATGGAGAATTAACATGCATACATCTATTGAAATACATATTCATATGGGTGCCTGGATGGCTTAAGTCGATTAAGCA